TGTCTGTCTGTCTGTCTGTCTGTCTCTCTCTCTCTCTCTCTCTCTCTCTCTCTCTCTGTCTCTCTCTCTCTCTCTCTCTCTCTCTCTCTCTCTCTCTCTCTCTCTCTCTCTCTCTCTCTTCTCTTCTCTCTCTCTCTCCTTTTTTTTTCTTTCTTTCCCTCTCCGTTTCCCTTTCTCTCTCTCCCTTTTCTTTTTTCTTCTTTCCTCTCCTTTTCTCCCTTTCTCTCTCTCTCTCTCTTTCTCTTCTCTCTCCTCTCTCTCTCTCTCTCTCTCTCTCTCTCTCTCTCTCTCTCTCTCTCTCTCTCTCTCTCTCTCTCTCTCTCTCTCTCTCTCTCTCTCTCTCTCTCTCTCTCTCCTCTCTCTCTCTCTCTCTCTCTCTCTCTCTCTTTCTCTCTCTCTCTCTCTCTCTCTCTCTCTCTCTCTCTCTCTCTCTCTCTCTCTATGTGTGTGTGTGTGTGTGCGCGCGCGTGTGTATGTGTTCGCGAGTATAAATTGGTGCGATCACACATATCTATCCTTCAATCTCACCTGGCATCTAATCTGTTAATCTATTTATATATCTTTCAATCAATGTAAATAGCATCTATCTATCCATTCAATATCATAAAGACATTTTAAAACTAATATAAACCTAGATCCAGAATTGACCCAAAGATGACCTTACACATGACCCCCGGAACTCTCGCTGCCTGGGAACGCTTATACAACCCTTTGGCGCACGTCCCTGTTGCAGCGGCCAATGCATCCCAACGATCAGTTTCATTCCTTTGCCCAAATACATAGGGCAGGGATGCTACATTCCATCCTACAGAGACACCCTATAGGGGACAATGCCCTATTCTTTCTCCTTCTTTTTTTTACGCTTCATCTTCTCTACTTTTTTATCTTCTCCTTGCTTCCTTTTCTGCCCCTGCTTTTTTTTTCTTTCTTTTTATTTCTTCTCTGTCTTTAACCCCTTTTTTTCTCTCTCTCCTTACCTCCTTCCTTTATTTCTCAACTCTCCCCTTGCCCCCTTCCTCCCTTTTTCCTTCTGCTCTTCTTCCCCATCATCGTTCGTCTTCCCTTGCCCTTCTCTTCCTTCCCACCTCTCCCTTTCGTTTCCTTTTCCTCGTCATTCTCCGCCTCTCGCTTTTCCTCTCCTTCTTTCCCCCTGCCCTTCCCTTCTTTTCCTTAAACCCTTACCTTTCCCATCCCTACCTCCTCTCCCCTTACCCTTATTCTCCCTTTCTATATCCCTTCTCCTGATGCCCTCCCTCCATCCCGCCCTCTACCAATACCCTTCCCCTCCCTCCCCACCACCCTCCTACTCATACCATTCCCCTCCCACCCTCACCCTATCTACCCTCCCCTTCCCTTCCCCCTCTTACCCTTGCCCTTCCCCACCCCCCACCCTTTCTACCCTTACCCCAATCCCCTCCCCCCCTCCCCCTCCCTTCCCTACCCCACCCTTCTACCCTTACCTAACTCCCTCCCTCTCCCTTCCCAACCCCCCCTTCTACCCTTACCTAATCCCCCCCCCTCCCCTTCTCCTCCCTCCCCCTCACTCCTTCTACCCTTACCCTAACCCCCCCCTCCCCTCCCTCTCCCTCCCTCTCCCCTCACCAAACAGGTAGTGTACAGCACACACCCGGCGTTTAAAATGGCAATAGGAAATATGAATGCTAAAGACAATGGGACCCGGGGTGACTTGCGCGCTTTGCAGTAATGGCACGATCTGGCTCTTGTTGCCTTTGCACGTTTGCATAGCTCCATTGATATCCAATATTATCTACCCCATCACCCCACCCCCCCTCTGCCCCACCCGAGAGTTCCATTGCCCCCCCTACCCCTTCTCTTCCTCCTCCCCCCCCCCACCTGCTTGGCTCTTCGTAACTCCGATGGAAAGGCAATAAGGTTTTATATCCAATGGCCTTTCTAGATTTTCCTTGCAAAGATGAGAAACGCACAACAGATAGTAGATAGATAAGATAAGATAGATTAGATAGATAATAGATAGATAGAGGAGGACGAAGGACGAGAGAGGAGAGAGAATAAGAGGAGAGAGAGAGAGAGAGAGAGAGAGAGAGAGAGAGAGAGAGAGGGGGGGATGGAGGGAGGAGGGACGGGAGAGAGAGAGAAACTCATAAATCATTATTTCTGTTTTATTGTTATTAATGAAATAATCATTATGATCATTGTGTTTATCAATAATGTATCGTATTATATATTCTCCATTATTATCATTATCAGCATAATTATTATTGTAATAATGTTGTTATTATTATCATAATCATCATGATTATCCTTATTATCATAATAGTTTTTATTTCATCGTTGTTATCATTATTAACGTCTTCATCAGTATTTTCATTATCATTATTTCTGTTGTTACGACTATAAGGATGAATAATGTTGATTATTGCTATCATTATAATCATTATTACTGTTATTAATGATATTGATATCATTATCATTATAATTGTTATCATTATCAATGTAATCTATCATCATTATTTTCATTATTATTTTCACTATCATTATAAATCGTTGTTATTCCATTATTATTATTATTATTATCACTACCAATATTAATGTTATTATTATTAACATACCACATTTTTGTATTAGTGTTATACCATTTATTATTATCATTG